GTCTCATTGTGTGTCACATAAAGAACTGGGGCACCCTCACCCCCTGGCATGAACATGCAAAGCAAAGGAGTGACGTAAACATGGGGGGAAACAAGTGGGACTCTAATGGTTTTGAGAACTATAAAAAGAGTCTTGCAGTTCAGGAGGAGCTGAAACCTGATCCACCCTCCATGTGGTGATGCCAGTTATCTGGTACTGCTGTAAGAACGGTTAGGGGTTAGGGGTTAACTTTAACGGTGTCCAGTCAGGCTAACAGTGCTGTTTCTTCTCCCAGGTGGTGGAAAACGGCGCTCTGTTGTCGTGGAAGCTTGGCTGCTCACTGGACCAGAGCACAGTCCCAGACATCAACAGCGTCCAGGGTCCTGCAAAGGAAGGCACAATGTCAGCCAAGCTGGGGTACCCTGTGGTGGGTTGGCACATCGCCAACAAGAAGCCTCACGTCTCGAAGCGAGTGAGGCGACAGTTGAACAACACCCCGACCCCGATTCTGGTAGTGCTTCCTCCTACAACAGTTGTGGAGCCTCCTGTCAGGATCGTCCCAACCCCCTCCTCTCCGTCCATCGCAGCACCCACAGAAAGTTCTGCTCCCCCTGTCAGAGGCCCAGTTCCTCTTCCAGGAAAGCCTACCATCAGAGTCCGTGACCCTATAGCCCACACCCCAACAATTGGACCCCCTCAACCAACCAAAGTTCTGGACACCACCAGTACTGTTTCCATCCAGCCAACCACGACCAGGGCTATTTATGTGGAAGCCACCCCGACACCGCCCTCAACCAAAACAACCACCAAGAAACCAAGGAAGCCCAAGACCACCCCTGTCTACAAAGATCCATCCAAGATGACTACTCCCAAACCACCCAGAAGTACTACCCCATCCCCGGGTATCATTATAGATCCAAGCAATGAGAAGCCAGTCCTGAGGAACCCCATTGACCAGGTCAATGCTTTGGTGGGCACTTACTTTGAGGTGAAGATCCCATCTGATACGTTCTTTGATAAGGAAGATGGAACGACCGATAAACTACGTCTCACTCTGAGGCAGAACCACAACGAGGTGGTTGGAGAGGGATCCTGGATCCAGTTCAACACCACCAGCCAGCTGCTGTATGGCCTTCCTGATGTGCAGCACGTTGGGAAACATGAATACTTCATGCAGGCAGCTGACAAAGGTGGCCTTAATGCCATTGATGCTTTTGAAGTGCGCGTGAACCGCTGGCCTGCCAATGATAAAACTCCTGTCATCTTCACGGCCCGCTTTGATGGAGAGCCACGTTCTGTCACCAATGACATCCACAAGAAGATCCTGCTGGTGAAAAAACTGGCCTATGCACTCGGGGACAGAAACAGCAGCACGGTGAGTTTAAGGAACATCACCAAAGGCTCGATCGTGGTGGACTGGACAAACACCAGCCTTCCTCAGCACCCGTGTCCTAAAGAACAGCTCATAGTGATGAGCAGGACTCTGGGCAATGCTGATGGGAGACCCTCCCAGACCTTCAGGTACGCCATGGAGCCCGACTTCAAACCTCTTGATGTGAAAGTGAAGGGACGGGCCAGCTGCCGGACCTACTCCTTCATCCCACCAGCAGAGATTGATCTACCAGAACCTTCTGCAGTCACTCCAGGTCTGGGATCAAGCAGACACAGCACAGATGATGTGTACCTCCACACGGTTATTCCTGCTGTGGTGGTGGCAGCCATTTTACTGATCGCAGGAATCATTGCGATGATCTGCTACAGGAAGAAACGAAGGGGCAAGCTGACCATCGAGGACCAGGCTACCTTCATCAAGAAGGGTGTGCCAATCATCTTTGCAGATGAACTCGATGACTCCAAGCCTCCTCCGTCCTCCAGTATGCCACTGATCCTCCAGGAGGAGAAGCCCCCTCTTCCACCCCCCGAGTACCCCAGCATGGCCACTCCAGAGACCACTCCCCTCAACCAGGAGCTGCTGGGGGAGTACACGGCTCTACGAGACGAGGACCCCAACGCACCCCCCTACCAGCCTCCGCCTCCCTTCACCACTCCCATGGAGGGCAAGGGCTCACGTCCCAAGAACATGACTCCCTACAGATCGCCACCCCCCTACGTGCCACCCTAAGACTCGTTCAGCCACCCCCCCACCCTCGAGGGTGAGGGGCCGAGGATGCCTGAGGAACTGTGACGGTTTCTATTCTGGTGTTTTTATCTGTCTGGACTTTTACTGGGAGATGACAAGAGGTGCTAAAGTTCAAAACAGCCACAGGGGACTTTGGTTTGGGAGGGGACACATGTTTGGGGGGCTCAAAAGGGATGATTAGTTGACACAGCTGGGAGGAACTGCTGCTTTAACGGTAGCCCAAGTCCACCAAAGGCTGAGGCCAAACAAAGTTTGGTCCAGATGAGCTCTTGGTTTAACCCAGATGCTCAGAAGGACGGAGCGGGAGGACCGCTCTCCCTTCAGCGTTTCAAGTTTTTACATCTGGATCCAGATTTTAGTTTTTTCCTCTTTGTCCCAAAACATTTGCTTTGTTCTGGACTGAAGTGTTTGCCTAACAACTCATTTTATTTGATTTTTTTTCTTGCTTTGGAATGATACGAGACAGTGAGCTGTCACCAGACCACTGTTGGATCAGAGGGGTCTCGGACCACCCCTGCAGACGGCAGAGAGCCGGGGGTCCAGGTGTGTGTGAGCGGCAGGTGTTGCCTTTTTAAAACCAGCTGTTTCTCTCTGTCACATGGTCAGAGAAGCCCAGGGAAGCTGCAGCAGGTGTAGAGATGAGTTTGTTTGAAATCACAGTTTTTCATGTTGGTGTTTTGTCCTCTGAAGGTGAAAACCGCAGCAGAAAAGAGTTGTTTTAGTTTCTTGTCTGAAAGTCGACCCTGCAGCCATCAGCAGGCTGATCTGAGCTGATGCTTTCATCTCACTTAGTTTTTATGATTCCTTTACTTAAAGCCAACTAAATTTATTAACACTCCAACAAAACTAAAAGTAAACTGACCCTGTGGTCTTCACTATGTACCTTTTATTTCTGATTGTTTTGTTGAAGTTGATTTATTAATCTTAATTTAATCTCCAGGATTGATAATCTAAACTCTAACGAGATGAAAAGGTCTTTGGTCATTCTTTGTTTCGGTGCTACTGAGGTGGGATTAGATGGGTTTTTATAAACAGACGATCGTGGCTGAAAGTGACAGAAACGATTGAAGTGCTTCGATCTTGATGACAGAAATGTGTTTTCCTTTGATGTTGCCTCCAATAGTTTGATTCTTAAAGAAAGAAAGATTAGTTTTAGCCTTTTAGTTGAGCTCACTCACTTATTTACTCCTTATTGTTTCGGCTCACATGTATCCGTTTGATTTTGGAGTGTGTTTGATCTTCCCTTCATGTTTTATTAATCACAATCTTCTTTTTTTTGACATGTTTCTGTTTGAGTTTGGACTGACAGTGACCCTTTGCAATAATCTCCTGTGGTGTGGTCCGCTCAGCGACACCTCGTTTTGTCCTGACGTGGTTGGTTTCTGCAGGATGCCAAGGCTTTTTTTGCTTCTGGAAGTGTGCATTGTAATAATAAAACAACTGGTCCCTTAAACTGCAGCGTGTGGTCTCGTCATTGCTGAGCGCTCCTGTCCTTGTAGGTTCTGTCGGGACCTTCCTGACCGTGAGATTGTCCCGGCACACTGCGGGATCAAACCCTGACCTGAGCTGTCGCTCCTCGCCCGCTCAGCCTTGGATTGATGAATCAGTCTGTGTGAAGTCTGCAGGAGGTTTTACCTCCTGGACGGTCTCCTGCTGCCTGCAGCCGCTGAACTTTTCCACCAAAACATTCTGCCTTTGACGGACCGCTGGGTCAATTCAGTTTGAAAGCTGTGCCCATTAAAGAGCCGTGACGACAGCCGGCTCGTTCCACGCGTGGCATACTGATGATCTGAGCCATTACTCAGAATATTGATCAGCCGGTCAGCGGCTCTGTGGCTCCTCGCTGATGTTTCCTCCCAGAGTTGGAGGCGGGCCGAGTGACGAGCATCTCTGAGAGGACAGATCCGTCCAGAGTTCAGTTGATGGACGAGGCTCAGCGCACAGAAGAGCAGACATGTTTGAGTGAATGTGGGTCCATCAGAACGTGACATTAAAGTTCTGCTGCACCACAGGCCGCTTAGAAATATGAGCCGTCACATCGAAACGAGGATTAACTCTAAAAGTTGTCTGTGGAGAAACAGGCAGATTAAAATGCTTGCAAAAATGACATTTTGTCAAAATATAACAGATAAACGTCTGCAATCAGTGTAGAATAATCTAATCCAGGTTTGAAGTCTGTGTGTTTTATTTTTTAAATTAGAGCAGATTAAAGAGGCTCAAGGTGGTGGAAACAGGTGGAATCACCTTTTATTCCTGAAAACTTCAGAGTTTTTTCTCCTAAATTTACGAATTTTTTTCTTAGAAATTTCTGACTTTACCATGTCAGAAAATGTCTAGTTTAAATGTCGCAAATTTCTGCTTTTAATTATGGAAATGTCTGAGTTTTTTTCTCGCAAATTTACAACTTTTCAAAATAAGAGAATTTCCTGTTTTTTTCTCCAAAATTTCTGAATTTAATCTCAGAAATTCTGGGTTTTTTTCTCGGAGGTTTGCGCCTCCTTTTTTCATCTGCAACGTGGCCCTAATACGCCATCGTAGAAATATCCTAAAAAAACATTTTGAAGCACTTTTTAGAACATCAGCAACAAAAAACCTGTTTTTGAGGAAAAACACCTTAAAATGCTGAGATTTTCCCTGTGAGCTCTCAAAGCTTTTGTTTCTTTCCAGCTGGGAAATCTCAATATTCAAATACTATTTGAGGTTTATTTTTTTTAAATGACATAAAAAAAATCCTCATTAAAATGACATAAAATTAGGATTTAGACCAAATATTTATGTATAATTGTAACCAACAAGAATACTAATGACATCAGGATGATCTAAGTATCAAAATTAGTTTTTAAAGCCAAGAATCAGAAAATATGATGAGTTTATTTTGATCAAATTTGACTTAATCTTCATTTCGATGTGATTGGTCACATGTGAAGATAACACATCACAGTTTCCCGCCTCGGAGAGAAACAGCTGAGAGTTTGCAGAAACAGGAAGTGATGTCAGAGGAAATGTCTGAGTGTTAACAGCATTACTGTAATCTACAGTCACAATAATCTTTAGATTATTTCATCAGAGTTCAAATCATGTCCCATTGAACAAGCAGGAAGTTTCCCTTTGATGTCACTTCCTGTTCCACTTTGAGCAGGCTAAGTTCAAAAGAAAATGTGACAAAACAGGTAAAATTGTTGCATTAAGTTTCCTAAATACAAAGATATTTTCTTTGATGTGTCTCACTTTAATGCTTATAAAAGTTCAGTCAGGGTTTAACTGGAACCAACAAGTTGAATTTAAAAAAGAGAAAGTGAACTAACGCTTCAGAAACAGGCGGAGGAGTGAGCTCCTGGCTCGGTGCAGGCTGCACTTACAGCCTGTTTCTGACTGATGATCAGTTTGTTTGTGATTTCAGCTCCTGCTGCTGTCAGGCTTTCTGTGGCCCTCACACAGCTCCACTTGTTTCTGTTTTTAACAGAGATCAGCCTGCAGCTGCAGGCAGCGGCCTGCTCACCTTTAATCAAACCCACCTGGAAGAATGAAGCCCCTGTGACCACCGTACCGTTTCCTCCAACAACCACGCGTCAAACGCTACAATCTGCTGCCTTTCAGGCTTTCTTCACTTACTGAGAGAGAAGTGATTCAGTCAGCTGAAGTTCCAGCTCATAAGGTCTGTCCCAGCTCCACGGAGGCCTGACTCCTCCTGTCAGAACCTCAGCTCACCTCCTGCTGACTGAAACCATCTTCATCAGTTCGGACCTGGACACAGAGGGACAGCTGTCCTGAATCATCCTGTCCCATCACAGACTGGTCCTGACCTCCTGCCCCCCAGCAGGAGGGGAGGGGCTCTTCCTCCTCGTCCTCACATCAAGCCTCCACTTCATTTGTGAGGAAATTAAAAGTTTTAATTTGGTTTACTTTAAGTTCTCTGCACATTTGAAGGACTGGTTAGTGTAGTGTGGTTAGAGTTCATCCCTGTTCTTCATTCAGGAGGAAGATGATGTTCTGCAGACAGAGGTGGGTCCAAACAGTGACATGGGTCAGAGGCAGTCCTGTCATCATGGAAATTAAAAAGAAAAAACAATAGTATAACCGTTTGTACTTTAAACACATTTTCAATTAGCTTCAGTTAACACTTTAATATTCTTCTTATTCAAAATGGCAGAATTTCCTTGGATTGTGCAGTCCCTGCTGCTGGTTATACTGGGAGCAGAATATATATCTCTGTGTCACCAGTAAAATGTGTCTGAATGTTTTAATATAAACCTGACATCCCACAGTTTATCTGATGTTTATTCTATAAACCTGTATTTGTGTAAGCTGTTCTGTGAGCTGATAGGCTGAGAACAGACACGTGTGGAGGCAGGTGGTCTTCAGGCTCAGGAAACAGCAGGGGGCCACAGTGAGGTCAGGGAATGACTGAGCTGCAGGAGAAGAAACAAAGCAGGTTAAATGCAGTGTTTACCTGTTGGTAAAGTTTCAGTTGATAAAGTTAAACAGTAAAATACAGCAGGGATCCAGTGGTTTTCTCTCTTTTAAACCTGACTTTTAGAAAGCAGGATTATATATTTTAAAGCTCAAACTATTGTCTAATCTGGACTTGAAGCAGCAGGTAAATCAGAGCCACACCTGAGACAGGTGGACCCTGTGAGGACATCCTGACATGTTTCAGCTGTGACAGCTGTGGACTCATGGATGTATCCAGAGGTGCATGGACTGAGGTCAGAGGTGAAGGACATCAGAACTGTTTTAATGAGATGAGCTGCAGGTTGTGTGAAGAAGTTCTTCTGCAGGTTCTGATGGACTGAGAGTCTCACCATCCATGAATGAACCCTCTAATGTTCAGGAGGTTCAGCAGGAAACAAGAAGGATTACTCTTTAGATCAGATTATTCCAGGATTATAATCCAGTCAGGCTTTAGAGCAGAGTGTTTCTGGATGTTGGCAGGTTTCACAGTCCAGCAGCTCAGCTTTTATTTTGAAGGATCAGTGTTTGTAATTAGATGAATAATATGTGTTTGTGTCCTGCAGCCATGCAGCAGCCTGAAGAAACCAGTCCCCAGATTAGATTATTCTGCTTTCATATTCTGTTTTAGTGTCGCTTCAAACACACACACACACACACACACACACACACAC